TGTGTGTGTGTGTGTGCTTGTATATGTGTGTTTGTGTGTATACATCTGTGTGCTTGTTTGTGCTTGCTTGTGTGTGTTCACTTGTCTGTGTGCTTCTCTGTGTGTGTATGTGTTGCATGTGTATTCTTGTGTGTGTGTGCTTGTGTCCATGCTGGTGTACGTGTGTGCACTTGTGTGTGCTTGTATGTGTGCATTTGTGTGTGTGTGTACTTTTGTGTGTGCTTGTGTGGGCGTGTGCATGTATGTGTGTGCATGCTTGTGCGTGTGCGTGCGTGCACGTGTGTTTAAAAACCAGAATGTTCGCGGACAGCTGGGACTAATCCCGTAGCGGCTGCCCTCCAAGGAGAAGCTCCTGCCCCCGGACCCGGGCCGGCAGCATGTGGCCCGGCAGGCAGCGCAGCTCCCCGAGCCCGGGCCTGCGGGTCAGAAGGACGCCAGGCCTAGTGGCCCGACCCAGAGAACAGCCCTGTGCCTGAGGCGGCTGCTGTGGGAAGCTGCCCTGGGCTTGGCTTAGTGTCACAGGTTCTCCCTGACCTGCATTTGCTTCGTGGGCAGTTTCCACATACAGAAGTGTGGGGCGCCTGTGTGCAATACTGAGCAGTAAGCCTCTCTCCCCCGGGGCTCCTGCTGCCGTTTGGGCTCATCTCTGTTAGCTGAGACTTAAAACGTTTCAGGGACATGCACGAGCCTGTCCCCGCTGGACAAGGGCCGGCGTCGGACCGCGCGGTCGGGACCCCGGCCTCGCCGTCCAGCAGGGCTGCTGGCGCTAGTCCCCTCTCCCGCCCCAGGGTGTGGAGCGTCCGCTACAACCACTCGCATGACCAGCTGGTGCTCACGGGCAGCAGTGACAGCAGGGTCGTCCTCTCCAACATGGTGTCCATCTCCTCCGAGCCCTTCGGCCACCTGGCGGATGACGACGACCTGAGTGACCAGGAGGAGCGCCGGCCAGAGGAGAAGTAAGAGCTCCCGGGCAGGGGCGGGGCGGCGCCGCCTCATCTTCTCCAGGGCCACCCGCGTCCGCGCGGCAGGAGGGGCATGGGTCAGTGGGCTCGCACCCGAGACGCAGGGCCGGAGCGGGGCTGGGCCAGCAGCGTTGGCTGGCATGGTCTCTGAAGTGCGTGTCTGTGCAACATCTGTCCAGCTTCTAAAACGGCACCCAGAGGCTGTGAAGACCTGCCTGGTCTCTGACCCTCAGTGTGACAGGCGCCACCCCGTGACCCCCACGCCCCGCGGCAGCAGCTGCCGAGGGCGCCCTCCTCGCGTCCACACCCCGGTCTGGGTGTGGACTGTCTGCCCCGCAGGCCGGACCCGCTCCATGCCCCTCCTGTCCTCCTCTCGTCCCCCAGTCACCTGACAGCGCAGGGAACCAAAAGTGCCTGTTCTCACGGCCGCACCCTCTTGCTGTATTTTCTGAAAACTTTCCTACACGCTGTTTTCCAGTCCTAATTGCACCTGCTCAGGGGCTCTCAGTTCAAATTTGGGCTCGTGCCCCCGAGACACGGGGGTCCCGGGCTTCGGGGCTTATGAGGTGCACTCCTAGCCAGTGCAGAGCAGGCCGCCCTGGCCCCGGGGCTCTGGCTGGGCTCCCGGCTGGGGCCAAGCAGGGCAGCGCAGGGGCCCATGTCCCTGTCGGCTGCACGGGGGTGACAGGGCACCTCTTGTTTCCCGGGTTGACACACGTTCGTGGCTGGGCTGCGTCCTCCGTGGTGAGTGAGCGGGACTCAGACGCTGTGTCTGGGGAGGAGGTTGTGGAGTAAGACCCCGCTGAGCTGAGCAGTGTGAGCCCGGAGGAGGTACAGGAGGGGCTTGTCATCTGTTTTGAGACTCTTCACACGGTCCCGTTGTCTGATTCCTCCTCTGCCTCCCCGAGCTTAGCCTGAAATTCCTGTGTGAGAACCCAGTTTGGGGCCTTCCGCACGGTGACAGTGTACCCCCCTCTCGACACAGTTCTTTTTCTGCTCAGACACTTGGAAACGAGCTATTGAGACACCGTGGCAATGATTTCAGTCCAGCGACCTGTCGCGTGTGGCAGCTGCATTGTGCTCGTGGCCAAGCGGGCTGCATCCCGGCTGTACCGGGGACGGAGCTGGTGGCCCCTTCGTCAGCCCCGTGTGACTCAGGCATCCTGCCTCCACTCAGGGCTTCAGAGAAGCTCGTTAGGGAGGAAGGAGCGGGTGGCTGGCGGCGTGCCGGGCGGTGGCACCGGCACATGGTGCCCACACAGCTTCCTGCTGCTCCAGGGGTTTGTTCATAAATTCAGGAGACTGGGCCTCCGCAAGAGGACTCGCTTGAGGTGTTGGCACCAGAGCCCCACTGGCCGTTGGCAGGTCGTCTTCCCGGGAGGGCCGGGCCATGGGCTGCATGCGGGTGGGCGCTCAGAGCTGAAGGCCGGCCAGGCCCGTGGGTGGCACGTCTCAGGGAGAAGATCACCTTCCTGGAAGAGCCCAGGTGTGCCGAGAGCACCCTGAGCAGAGCTGTCTGTGAAATGGGAAGGAACGTGCCTAGGAGGCCCCCTCCGGGCTGAGCAGTGGCCCTGCTCACAGAAGGCCTGTGGTCTCTGGGCAGCCCAGGCAGGTGAGGCCAGGTGTCTAGGGAGGGGCCCCGAGACTCCTGTTTGAAGGGGGTGATGGGGAAAGTCACAGCCCAGGCTGGGACCTGCCGGCTCTTCCCACTGGTGCGCGGGGCATCCTTGCCCTGGCCAGCTCCACACCCGTTCCTGGGCGGGGCTTCTCGTGTCCCCTGGGGCTGCACCAGCCAGCCCCCAGGTCCACCTGTCAGACATCATGGGAGCGTCGAGCTGTTCCCCACTCAGCCCCGTGAACATTCCAGACACTGTCCTGGCCCCCAGACGGCCCGCTCCAGAGCCCAGGAGCCAGGTGTGTCAGGCAGCCCAGGTCTCTCCAGGGTCCCTGAGGGCCCTCGGCCGGGATGGCTCTAGCTCCTGCAGAGGCGGCTCCTGGGACCTGTCCCTTCTCGCAGGTGCGAAGACCAGGCCCCGGCCACCCCAGAGCAGGGTGCCCGCCTGGCTCACGTGTCTCTGGTGCCTTGCAGGAGCCAGGAGCCCCCGCAGGACAGCGTCATCGCCACCTACGAGGAGCACGAGGACAGCGTGTATGCCGTGGACTGGTCCTCAGCCGACCCCTGGCTGTTCGCCTCCCTGAGCTACGACGGGCGGCTGGTCATCAACAGGGTGCCCCGGGCCCTGAAATACCACATCCTGCTCTGACCGCACGGGCCCCCCCGCCCCCAGCGGCTGCTGGCGCCCCGCCAGGAGAGCCCGCCTCGCCTCCCTCGGACGGTGCGGACACTTGTAAACAGTGAGGGGGCTTCTGCCTGCTGCCAGCGGCACCCGGAGTCTCCCCTCACCGAGGACAGCGATCCCTCAACCCGAGAGGGGGACCCGACCCCGCACTGCGTGGCCTGGTGTCCCCCCGGCCACCGCTGGCTTGCCGCCCGCTTTCTGTTCTCTGAGGACGTTGTGAGCCTCACTTTAGTTTGTTTCTGTAACGTTGGCTGGTCTCCCGAGAATAAACATGAATGAAGCGAGCAGGCCGTGCTGCCTGGGCCCCGGCTCGTTCTCTCTGGAGCTCTGCCCCCAGTGTGGCCTTGTCGCCTGGGGCCTGTTCAAACCCTCCGTCCCGGCCCAGAAGAAGGCAGAGGGGCCTCCCACGCTGCGTCCCGGCGCTGACCAGCCCGAGCGCAGACCGTGGCCTGGGGGAGTCCCGACACCGTTTGTGACCAGGGGTCCCCTGCGCCGTTCCCCACAGGGCCCCACTGATGGCATCCTTGTCACCCCGACGTCACACACGTGCTCCGGGGCCACCCCCAGCCTACCTGTTGAAAGCCCGAGTTGCGGGGTCAGCCCCACCCCCAGGTGACCCCAGAACTCTGAGCCCAGGACCCTTGCCGGCTCCTCCTCCTGTGAGTCCAGGGTGAGTCTGGCCGCGGCCTCCCGGGCGTCCCACCTGTTCTGAGAGGGAGAGACTGTCCCCAGGCAGCCGTCAGGCTTGGGCCTTGTTCACGACAGGCTTCGGTCTGAAAATGGACTCGTGCTAAGTGCCGAAGCCGGCTGGCCCCGCCGTGTCTGTGCGGTGTTTCCTGACTCTGCTGTGAGCCCGGAGGGGCACGTCTGGGTTTTGTTTCTTCTCTTTTGGGTGAGAGTTTGTGGGGCAGGTGGGGGCTGCGGGGGTGGGCGGACAGGGGTCCTGTTCCAGGTGCGACCTGCCCGTGAGGAATGGGCAGCCGCTCTGAGGAAGCCCCCCCCC